AATAGTTTGTTTTGGATGAAAATCCTCCCGCCCACTGGCCTCCCTACTCCCGCTCCTTCCCTTCCCGCTCCCGCCCTCTTTTCTCCCGTCTCTCATCCCTCCTCTCACGTCCCCCCTTCTCCCGTACTACCCCCCCCCTGTACCCCCCTCGTTACATACAGCATGCTGGGCTAAAAAATAAAGACGAGGATAATGATGGTGGCAACTTTTGATGGATAAAATCAGGAGTAGTAGGCCTATACGTACATGAGAAGATATCTATGTTCGTTCGTTCCCGATATCATTGTACGAAGCGTACGGTGGGGAGAGGGGGGGCGTAATGGGAAAGACATGTCTATACTATAGTGGCGGCACAAAGCAAAACTTTCAACGCGGTCTAATATTTTTACAGACGAACGCGCCATTCTTTGGCGGGTTCTAGCTGTCACGTCTATACGTAGTATTACGTACCAATCCAAACTGACAGTGCTTAATTAGACCTTAAATATAAAAAAATACATGAAAGAATTCTAGCTAGCTTTACGAATGCTGCTGCTGCTGACGCCATGCTATGCTATTCTATGGCAATGTGCAGATTTACTGCTTCAAAGCAAATCAAATCAAATGCAAGCGTCGTATAATTAAGCGTGAGACTGCAGGAGGCGTTGCTGGGATATTGTATGTATATTGGTGTATATTGTATTGTGTGTATTGTGTGTATATTGTATGTATATTTCTGGGATATTGTATTGTAATATAACCTCGCGCAATTTTAGAACTCTCGCGAAATCTCATTGTAGGCGGGTTAGATTGCCATAGTTCTTTGTCCTCATAGTTCCAAGTGCGAAGAACATAATGGCCGGCCCTAGCAGTCAAACCTAGAATATATATGTGATAGCAATCTTCATGGGTCTCGTGTTAACAGCTCTTTCACGCTGTGGGTGCGGAGAAAACCATGTTTACGTCTCTCGCTCTCGCTATCGGATCCCATATAGCTGCAGCGCCATGTTTATGTCAATCACCTCCTCTCTCTCTCACACACGCACACACACACACACACACGCACACACACACACTCACTCTCTCTCACTCTCTCTTTCTCCCTCCCCCTCTCCCCCCCCTCACACACACACACACGCACGCACACACTCTCTCTCGCTCTCTCTTTTTCTCCCCCTCTCTCTCGCTCTCTCTCTTTATCAGATCTCTTAGCTGCAGTCACTGTGCCCACAGCTAAGATATCGGTCGCTATAGTAAATTCCGCTGAATCCTAACTGTAAGCAATGAACGAGACAAGCAAGAAGAACAGGGCAGTCAGTGTGTCAGCGTCTGATATAGATGCTGATGCTGAGGATGACATCGTCGCGACACAAACGGTTGACAGCGTAGCCAAGTCCAGCGACGCAGGTGACGGTTGTGCCGTCACCCGCCGTGGGAACGCGTCCACAGGCAGCCAGCAAGAAAGCTCGACAAACGTGGAAACCATCAATAACGCGGGAAGCAAAGCGAGCAGGGCGGTTCTGTCACACACCGACCACGGCTGGGCGTGGATGGTGCTGGCTGGTTCGTCGATCAACGTCTTCGTGCTAGGCATAACGGCGTCCTGTTTCTCCGTGCTTTTCGCAGAGTTCCTTACGGCGTTAGACGGAGAAAGCACCAGTTCGATCGCTCTCACCGGATCGCTGCAGGCTGGGATATCGCTGATGGCTGGTGCGCTGCAGAATTCACATGCCCACAATATATATATGGCCATGCATCCTGCCGCTTGCTCACTATGGGACGACAAGTGTCGCATGACTGATTTTGTAACGAAATCAAGTCTACGAAGTCATTTCGTTACGAAATCAACTACTGCGAGTGATTTCGTGACGAAATCAGCTACAGCGAGTTATTTCATTACGAAATCATGCTACACTTTGCGCGCCGGCGCGCCAAGTGTCGCATTACTTGATTTCGTTACGAAATCATTGATTTCGTAACGAAATCAAGTCTACAAAGTGATATTTCGTTACGAAATCAAGTCTACAAAGTGATTTCGTTACGAAATCAACTACTGCGAGTCATTTCGTTACGAAATCAGCTACTGCGAGTGATTTCGTGACGAAATCAGCTACTGCGAGTGATTTCGTGACGAAATCAGCTACTGCGAGTGATTTCGTGACGAAATCAGCTACTGCGAGTCATTTCGTGACGAAATCAGCTACTGCGAGTGATTTCGTGACGAAATCAGCTACTGCGAGTCATTTCGTGACGAAATCAGCTACTGCGAGTGATTTCGTAACGAAATCATGCTACACCTGG